CTGCCATGACTTCCTGAATATGATGGATAGAGGTTTCACAACCCCATCTGCCAGTTCTTTCAGGACCCACAGATGTATTCCATCACGTCCCATGGACTTGTGCACCTTCAGGTTCCTCAGGCGTTCCCGAACCTGATCCTCACTGACCATGGGCGGCTCTCCATTCTCCCAGTCCCTGCCCTTGTCTTCTGTGACTCGATTATTTATATTTTTTTGCAGACAGTATACCCAAACAAAAATTCTCTCATTCTGAATAGAAGTCTCTTTTCTAATGACCCTAACACAAAAATCTCAAGCACATTAGTTTGTGCTGAGTGCAGAGAGATGTCACCTTTTCTGGATCATGAAAGGTGTTTGTTTCCATGGAGAATGTGTGGGAGGAGGGTAACAGAAGCCAGTGTTTTTTCACTGTAAAATAAATGGCAGTACTACAACTGACAGACCAAATCGTTAAAAATCATACAGCTAATTCTCTTCCAATTGTGTCACTGAATATTTGTGATGCCAACCACCTAATCCCATCGTTACCATTAAAAAAAATCCCCTCACTTCCTTTCTTTAAGTGTAGCTCCTATATGGGACAACCTGACAGAGTAAACCAACAACTGTATGGAATAAATACACTCAACAGAAATTAAAGAAGGTTTCCAATGTCTCTAAGCAAACAGAGCAAATTACTTCAATTTTTGTTGCCTCTAACATCAACCTACTTTTTTTAGAAATTCAGTATTAATAGTTCAAGGCATGCCAGCTGTGGCTCCAAATTACTATGACCTGTTAATCGTTTTGCAGTATTACACACAGAGAAACAGAGAGATACCTCAATAAATTGTGAGTAAATTATATGATTTAACGATGACTATTGCTATATAATTACTGCTTCTCTTTCAGAAATACTGCTGCTGTTTTAACTGCAACCAAAAAAAAAAATCTCACTGGGATAACACAGACTAATTATTAGTCCACTCAGCGAATTCCATTTAATATACAGCACTTCCACATTTGAAAACTACATTCTGCAATGCATTCTGCATTGTGGCCAAAATCAATTTTCAATTAGAGATATTACAGCTTTAATACAGAACATACTAGTGTTTCAGAAAGTGAATTTCAGTTCAAGTTTTTTTTCTTTCAACAAAACTTGTATGCAAACAAGTGCAAATGTTACCTCACATTTGATGGGCTAATTAGTTAACATCATTGCAAAGTTTTAAGTGACTACAGGCAACTAGCTAATTGTTGATATAAAACACAGTATTACCAACTCGCAAATACATTTTTTATTACACAATGAAAACATGTTAATTGTTTGTAAAACTATTTCACAATTTTATTGTGATTTATTGGCTTTTCTGCTTACTGTCAAATGCAAGAAAGGTAAGAATTCACTACATATGAATGATTTGCTGACAAATGACGATTTCCTAAGTTTGGAGAAGCATGACTTATTTTGTGCTGAAGAATGAGAATGATCACCACCTGCCTCGCCAGTAAGATTTTTAGTTACTTGTCAGAAAAAACAAAGGCAATTATCATAATACTAGAAGAAGACTGACACAAAAGAACTATTTATTTTGCATACGCAACCCGCTCAAAATAACGATTTGTGTTTACACGGCCACAATACATAACACTTGCAAGAAAAATCAAAACTGAAGAATTAAAAGAAGAGCCTGGCTGGATGAGTGTACGACCAGGTACGATTACTGGTCTTGGCTTTTAGCCATGAACACAGTTAATCAGAATCATGCTGATTCAGCCCCAGCTGATGCCAACTCAGTTTTAGCATCTAAAACTTGAGGAATTGTTTATTATAAACACTTTATTAAAAGAGCTTGGACTAGAACAACTTAACCAGTATGTGTCATACTTAAAAGCTGATATGCTCATATGCAAATTTTGTTTAGCAATCCCTACACCTGCTGCTTTTTTAGATCTTAACCAAATCTTGCATGTTGTGTTTTTTACAACACTGAACTTGAAGGAGAGCAAGGGTTACCTTCTCCCTACTACAGAAAATTATAAGAGAGAAGAAATGCATTTTCAAAGCTGCAAGTGTCCCAGTTTTTGTTTTACTGGTTTTGCAGACAGGTTGAAAGTGTATCTTGGCTTTTAAAGATGAGTGTTCTGATGCCAAGTCTTTCAAACTGATCTCAAGTTAACTTTTGTGTGCTTTAGACATGATCAGTTGAGCACCTCCTGGGGTTTGTGCTGCAAACCTCCTGGTAAAAACCCACAACTTTCTATCCATGTCCATTTTTGAGACTGCTTCTTCCCAGACTGATCTTCAAGACCTTTCATTCAGACTACCCATTTTTGGATGAAGTGGGAGATGAACATAAAAGATTGTCTTGTGCAACTGGCAGAAGCTCAGACACATTAGGCTGTTTATACTCTCTTGCTGACTATGGCAAATAAAGTGTCTATAGTCACAACTTACCGGCCTGGGCAAGGACAGATTTGCTCCATACCAATGGTAAAGTGCTCTCCAAACTGGTTCTGGCACCATTATGTAGTCCTTTCCTTCAATCAGTTGAGGAGATCGTTTTAATCTTCCACCCTCCATTGTTAATGATGCAGCCTTAAAAAAAAAAAAAAAGGGATTCTATCAAATCTCAAATGGAAAAAATTGTATACAGCTACAATTATTTTAACTCATGAACACAGAACACTGGCTAATTATTAAAAAACTTCTAAGTAGCAATTAGCAACTGCTTTTCATGCTGTAAGACAGTATTTAAATGCAACAACAATTGATGCTCAAGTTTCACTACATACTATTTCTCTTAAAGGCTGCCCAGTATAAAATTTGTAGTATGTTTCTCTGTCATGTCGCCTACTCCAACAATTTCAAATACTGCATAAAGAAATCCAATCTGTGATCATCACTAGTGATGTCAGTCTGTCTTCTACATTTCGTTTCCATGGATATTGGAAAAACTGTCAGTTTTCGTTTATTACTTAGTTTTCTGGTGTTACGCAACAGCAATAAACTCATATTTAGATTGAAAACACTGAAGTATTGATTAAAATATTTTACGTTTAATGCTGCAAGTTGTGTTTTCATAAATGCCTTTTTCATTTATGTTTTGTTTAAGAACATTTTGAATGTTTATCTTCTCACAAAATACTCAATAGCAGCCTCAGAAGTAGAACACTAATCCTTCCTCTTAAAATAAGAGTAAGAAACCCAAATTTTATTATATGACAGAGCAGTGTTAATTTAGAATTAAGCCACCAGCTGAAAACACAACACACAAGAAGCTGCAATAAAAGTATGCTAAAAGATACTTTTTCTATAGTCACATGACTCAGACACATTTACCTTCACTGGTTCTTGCGTTACTAGAGGTTGGTTATCAATAGCTCCTGGTTTCTGAGGATTAAGTTGTAGCAAAGTATTCCCATTGGTTCCAAGGAAACATTGGTTATTATTGTCCGAAGTATTATGCTGCCTAGCAAAACATACCTCAGTCCCTGGAGTGCCAGGATAAATAGTATCTGTAACAGAATACAGGAAGAAGGATCTCTCCATTTCAGTTCATGGGTCCACGACATACATAAATCAGTTAAACTGTTGTATCCTTTTTTTTTTCCTGTTTTTTTTAAAAAGGTTATTGAAGGAGTTTGCTATCCTTCATACTTCAGGAAAACATGCAACTCTTCCAAACTACAGAGTGACCAATATACTAGTACTCTCTGCTAAGATAAAGAAGTGCATGTATGAGATCCAAATACCAAAGCAGTTATTATACAAATAGTGATTTGAAAACAGCCTCACTAGGTTTGCACAAGCAACTGTGTTTGGCATCTGCTTGTTATATGGATGTTCAGAGAGCAAACTTTTGCAAATCTTGTATACAAGACTGAAAATATATGCAAATAATGCCTTTTTTATTTTTACCTATTGAAACAGCCAATATTTTTACACTTAGAGAACCTCCTTGTTTATGCAGAACACAATCTAAATTTCAGGTTAGAAGAAAGGAAAAGCTGTAATCTAAAACTTGCCCCCTTCCTCTCTATTCCCCAACCCCCATCCCAAAAATGGTCACAGTAATTTACCTACTTCAAACTGAAGTTACAATTTTAAGAAACAGATATTAAAATACCAGGTGCAACATTCAGCTGTCTTACAAGGAAAAAAATATCATCTTAAATTCTCACAAGAACTGACTGAAAAACACCACTAAAATCTCCTCTTTTTTCACAAAGATGGCTCCTACAATCTGCACTTAAATCACACACCCTGTAAAACTGAAGTACATTTTTCCTAATTTTTTTTTTCTGCCTGTTTCCCCTTTGTAGCATCTACGGTCACCTCACTGCCTAACATTGTAGAATTCCAACTGGGTATGAGCTAGAAACAACCTAATGTGAAGTGGGGGTGCGTGGAAATCCACTCAGCAAATAAATGATATGACAAAAACATATTCATAGCATAAGATGAATTACTGTCTAAACAGTACTGGTTTTTATTTATCCACCACAGACTAAAAAATCCTGGTAATTCACCGACATCCACATGTAGGCCACCTCTGCAATCTAAACCGTGTTATCATTTCGCCTGGAGGAATTCATGCCATATCTAGTTTTCTCAAAACCTGTTCTACATTAAACCTCCAAGGAAATAAGATGTTATGCTTACTGCTGCTAGTAGTCTCTGAGGCTTCTGATGCAGTAGAAATATTATCTGAACTCTTTTCTTCGGTTGCACTGAAGGAATTAAGACCTCCCATTTTGTCTTCTCCCTGTTCTGCAGTATTGGCTGTGGCAGTTATGAGTGAATTCTTACCTCCACTCAAGACAGATGAAGGCTCTATCACAACAGGGTTTGCATCCTAAAATTGGTAGGCAAGTAGAAAAGTTAATTATCAGCCAAACCAATCACCAAAATTCACAGCTGCATGACCACTTTTACATATCACAATGAGCTTTATAGGAAACAAAAAAAAAAACTTTCTACATCTACTGCTGAAAAATCTGCAGAAGCAAACAGCCAAAATTGTTAAACCAACTGAATAAACTTTTCTGCACACTATAAAAATTGTGAAAGAACAGAATTATTTTTCTTTAGCGAGACACATAAAAAGACAATCATTTTAGACAGCTATAATTACAGACTACAAATATTTGAAGATTTGTCCTTACTGAAATTCATATGGTTAAACAGAGAGCACAGAAGAAAAAAAACTTCTTTCCTCAAACCTGCAACATTTCAGTCTTCCCTAACTCCATTTTGAAACAAAATTCCTTTGTTCCCTCTGCAGAAACAGCACTGCAAATGCAATCTGGCTCACACTTAGGAAAGTTAAGGGTGGAGAAAAAAATATGTATCCCCCCAAAAGTGTAACTTGCCTGCCCAGTACAGACAAGATCTAAGAAGAATCCTACCCAATTTACAGCACCGGTCACAAAAAGAAACAGCAATAAATGAGAAAATAGAAGAAAAAGGGAATTAAGGGAGCCTTAGAGAAGCAAAAGGAAAATCCCTGCAATGAACATCACTGTAACAAGATGGGGAAAAGGCATATTTCCTGGTTTATGATTTTCCCCTATTTATCGCCTCACTAGACATAGTATATTGTCAAATAACAAAACCGTGCAGTAGAGGTTAAAGTATAAAAATAGGACTGCAATGTATGTTGGAATTACAGTAATAATTTATATAGTTTCACGGAAATTCTCATTGTTCTTTTTGCTCAAGAAGTAGACAGAGTGAGTAACGGCACGATGCTATTATGCAAAGTATTAGGTATGAAATCATGTGCCCATCTGAGTACTTACACTATGACAAGGATCAAATTACCTAGTATTTCAGGCATTTAAGCCATCATTTCTCCAATTCTGTGCCTAAAGAATATCTGTAATTACATAGTCAATTAATATGCACATTGCAGTTTTCTAGATATTTTTAGTTATTTGTATTTAGAGAACAACTGAAATATGTACATGATTACTTATCACTATGTAAAACTTTTGAACAAGTTTATTTCACCTACTACATTCTTGATTGTGTAAGCTGAAAAGCATATTTATGTTCCACTCAATTAAAATTTTATTAGATATATATTTTTATTAAATATGCTTTCTTTTGTAAAATTCAGGGTGATGTTTTAACTTAAGTATTTTAGTTGGAGGCTATTAAAAAGCACCCTGTAACTCTGAG